ATATAAATAAAAGGATAAGTTATATAAATATAATAAGAAATAATAAGAATAATAAGATATAGGATAATAGGCACTTAAAGGAGGAAATAGGTTATATAAACTATATAGATTAATAGTAGTTAAATCTATTTAATATAGGTATATGCCTCTAATAGCTATAGCTAAAGAGAAAATACACCTAAACAAGATAGTATAAGCCTACCTCTACTAGGTAATAGATAAATAAATTTACAGCAGTATATAACTATAAAAAGTGTAATACTTTTGCTCTTCTTGTTTTTATTACGTTTTTAGGCTTTTTAGGAGGAATAGGAGCACTAGTGACTTTTACTATATAAGAAAGTTACTAGTGTTAGTATATAGGTAATATAGCTAGAGGCAGTAGGTTATATAACACACTGCCTACTAGCAGAATCCTTTACCTTTGCCTATACGCAAGGGTGCTACTACACTTATGCTCCTACTTCACCTTGTTAACTAGTTAACTATTAATAACTATGAATTTGACCACCTTTTCTTAACCTTTGTGATATCATAAGATACAGGATCCCATTAATTAGCCAGTGAAAACTAACACCTATAGCAAACATTAACAAACCTGATCTCTTCTTGGCCCTGCACGTTTTTTCGGTTCCTCTTCATTGTCAGCATAACCCTATTGGTCAACTTAAGAGCTACCCAATCACGAGAGACAGCTCGTAAACTTCCAGCTGCAATTGAGATTGGCCCTCGTGAACTTTCAGCCGCCGTGGATAAAGCACGGCAAGCCACATCTGGGTCTTGGTCCGCTCCCAGCCACCCGTGCCAGCCTGGCTGATGGGCTTATGCTCTGCATATCATCGGTTATCAAATATTGTAGTTCTAGCACTCACCTACGGCACCAACCTGTCAATATTTCTCCAAGGGAGTGGTGTAAGAAGCTTTACTTCGCTGGGATCTGTTGGAAAGCTGAATCTACCGCCAGTAGTTCAGTGTCGCATGGCATTGCATTTTAATAAGTGTGTAGTATGATACTGTTCACATGATGTAATTAAAGCGTTTCACTACTTTGCAAGTCTGTTGAGAAAGCTAGGCTTATAGGGTTGTCTGCTATCCTCTACACCGTGTGTCGTTCACCTGAGCTGGTAAATGAAGTAGCTACAGCTGTGTCGTCCGACGACGGATTGGGAAACTCAGTAGAGACATTATTGAAGCAATTTGGGTTCTCTTCGCCGTGAAATTCGGGCCAAAATCGCAGCTCGATAGCCAATTGTTGATGCCTTTATTTGAAAAGTTTGTTCGAAGTTTGGAATGGGTCCGGCCTATGGATGGCACTCAAACCTGCCTTTGGATTTGACAAGAAATAGCCATGCCAGTATCGGGTAATGTGACAATATCGAAACAGGTCTACGAGCGGGGCCAGTGAGTCTATATTCTATGTTGTGCAGGAGTCATATCCATATATGTTCCATTTACGATTACCTTGCTCATTCTGGCAAACAGCTCGACTAAGATGGTGACATGCTTGATGTACAAGGGTTGCAATATAAAGCGCCTCTTGAGAAAACACACTAACAGATGCACATCGGCAATCAAATGTCGTGACCGCAGCCAAGATGCCTCTCCCCGAGAGCTTCAAGCTCCTCAATTTGGATGATATCATTCTCAAGACCTCTTGATTGCAGGTGCATCAACATAGTGGCGTTGGCAGGAGTCTTTGGAATGAGCTCTGTTCCATTTAGAGACAAGACAGTCAATATGTGAGCAGCAGCCTATCATATTTGTCAACGTGCATCCCTAATGACAGTCGATCGACTGATGTCGACAGTGAGCTCACCCTCGCGTTGACAGTAATAGTGTTAGGGTCGGGGTTATTGATGGTGTCGCAAGCTTGGTGGTAGCAAGGATCTTGAGCAACGGCTGTGCCAGTATGCAGGAAGCCGAAAGGCTTATGGAGGATTCGCCAGAATGAGGCATAGTCACTACCATTTGTAAGAACAGCGGGAGTAACTTGGAGACCCTGGCTCTCGAAATAAGCCTGGTATATATGCTCAACAACGTCAGATCCTGCAGGTCCAGCGATTCCGTGAGTGCTTCCATCTGTATCGGCAACACCGAAGAAGCCCTTGGCTACCATATCGAAGTTGAGGTAAACGAGCAAGTTATCGACGTCAGACGCGGGGAGGTTGGAACAATAATACTTGGACCCAAGCAGACCATTCTCCTCGGCACCCCACCACGCGAACCGGACCTTGTTCTTAGTTCGGTACTTTGTTAGGGCAAGGAAAAGCTCGATAAGTAAACTGGTCCCAGATCCTAAAAGCTTGTCAGTATACACTTACTGTAAATCAACAAATGCTACTTGCCGTCATCGTTGATACCAGGTCCAGCTTGGACGCTGTCCAAGTGGGCACCCAGCTAGAAAACGTTAGCAACGGGTACTTGAATGGGCAGGCAAATGGAATGCGCACCATGATAACATTGTGCGGGTCACCCTCCTCAGTCTCAACAAGAACGTTCTGCGTGATACGCTCCTCGACAATCTGAGTCTGCTGGAAGTGAGCCACGACGGTTTCGCCTGCATCAAGGCGCTCCTTGATCCTCAGACCATCTGCAAGGTTGATGAAGCCAGCAGGAACGAACCCCACCGGATCAGGCGCGCTGAGTGAGCCCGCCGTGGCATTAGTCGTCGCATCATGATATACAATGACAGCGGCAGCACCAGCTGCCGCCGCAGGTCGGACTCTGCCCGCAAGAGTACCTCCAGTTGGGCATCGATAACGCTGCACAAGGACAATCTTGTCTTGGACATTCAGGCCCTTGTAATTGACGGCGTCGCAACCGGCAGCTCCCTCGGGACCAAGAACTACCTCGGAGGTGATACCCTCTTCACTGGTGGAGGGGGAGTAGGTTAAGCCGAAGACATAGATAGACTCCCCGTCAATGTTGAAGTCGATGGAGATGACCTGGCCGAAAGTGGCGGGGAAATCCTGTTTCCAAGCCTTGGTACCAGAGATGTTGGAGACGCGATCCCAGACATAATTGACCGATGCAGCATAACCAGGCAGGCCGAAAGCTCTGTTTCCTCCATTGGCAAATGCAATCTCATTGAGGGCCTTTAGATTGGCCATTAGGCTGTTTGATTGCAGGAACAAGTCAGTCAATCGAGTTCTGGTCAATTTTGAGTGGTTCTGAACGACGCAATTGAGTCTTACTTTTCGGTCGTAAGGTCCGCCTGAAGTCTCTCGGAGTCAATCTTGGGTCTGCATGTTGTGTTTGTTGCGACGATGCCGGAGGCTAGCGAAAGCAAAGCCGCGGCGAACTTGCAGAATTCCATGGCTGCGTGTATGTATTAAAGGCGAGACAGCTGGGACTAGCCAGCAAAGTAGTAGACTCAGACACAGTAACTATAACTGGGCCACGGTTACCTTTTTATCTATGTAGCATTTCTGTGCGACCCTGGCCTCGTTTTCCAATCAAATGATTTAGTGTTGCAGTCAATCGTGGCGTCAATTCAGTCAGATCAAGAAAAATGATGATTTGCATGCCACATCCCAGGCCGCCGAGGCTTTGACACCCACAGGGCTACCGTTGGTTGGAGCATGCCCACGAACTGAGAGTCGGATCGGGAAGGTCGACGGTAACGATGAGGGGAACTTCGAGTCCGCCAAGAGCCAAGCTCTATTGAATTTTAGTCTTATCCTAAGACTCTTGGGCCGTCACCCCGTCATGTCATCAAAGCAACATTAGTCATGGCGAAACAGTTGCGTGTTCCTAGCTTTTCTAAGAAGATCAGTTACCAGGGTCATACTCGGAGCACTGGATGAACGCCACCTAGCGCCAAGCATGCAGCGAAGTCTTGTATACAAGACAATTAATTAATGTCAAAATAAAATAATTCTCAAAGCCTGATTAAAGGATAAAAGAAATAAAAGAATAAAACTGAATGGTTCTTTACCAACTCTGGGAAGTCTGGTCACATCTAGAGTTTTCCCTAGCCCTAGCACCCCGCGTATTGAAAAGTATGAGCAAACTTCACGTAAGCGTGTGTTCATTGGCGTAGAAATGGTAGTTAAAGCTATTATTAGCAAATATTTTCCAATGATTGCCTTTGAACTGTTGTATCAGATTGCTTTCCAAAGAACTTTTCTAAAAAACGTACAGAGTGGGTAAATAATTATGTTGGTCTTCGCCGCGATGTTGGCCACGACAGCGACGGTGGCTTACTTATTAGTGCTGTATACAGTGAGCAACCAAAGCAGCTTTCCACAACCCGAATTTAATTGTCTTGAGGTTCTGGGCGTTGATGACTTGATGACCAACAATATCTTGTCGTATATTTCTAAAATTCGTTCCCACTCGCCCTCCTCTAAGACTTACAGCTTCCATTTTCAAGCATGTACAGTGGGACGGTAGAAGTTCGTAAACGAGTCTATCCTATATGGCCATGGTGGTCACATCCAACTTCTACTATTAGCGCCCTAAAGATATGATCGCTAATTAGAGGACCAAATGGTAAGGGTATTCAGAAAGGGCGACCACAATCCATCTCAGTGCTTTCTAGGATTGAGAAAGGACAGTGTATTTCTACAGCTTCATTTACGACCCTACAACCACGAGGAATTGTCGAAAGGGCAAAAACATAAAGGTTTTAAGCGACTATTGTAGTAAGCAATTAAGCAGAACCTCAATTTCTTACCTCAACGACACTATTAGTATCCAGATTCCACATTTGAAGGTCAATGACCGAAATATTTCTATGAACCATCTATCAACTCTGGAGAAAACTGCGTCCATAAGACAGCTCGAGTATGGTTTGGGCTTACCGATTCGAAGAATGTATTGAAAGCCAGACGGAAGCCAATGATGAGGGGGGAAAGCTCTCTGTGCGCCACCCAGCACCCAGAAGACGATTATTCGAGGATTGCATTATCGTTCAATGTAGAACTACCAAATATCGTTCAAATTTGAAAGAAATATTGCATTACAACATGAAGGAAACAAACCCCGTTACGAGGATCCAGGATCCAATTCTCCAAGGCACCCTCGGGTGCCTGCCCCGTGACCCCGCGTCAGGGATTGTAAGGCAGAATTGTAATCATGGGAGTTCTCCAAATATCCCAGCTGTCAGACTTTTCTGGATTGCTCAAAGGTACAAGTGCAGCAAAGCGCATCCTACAACCCAGGTTGTTAGCTCCTGAGTCATACAACAATTGATGTTTGTACAAGGTGTGTTGTAGTCAGTACAAAACTTACGTATAGTTGCCAGGGGCGATATAGCTTCCATTGGCCAGCTTCCCCAGCCACCAGAATCGATCAGTCAACTCACTCCACGTCGTCGTGCGCTCGATTCCTCGGATTGGAAAAGAGGAAACCTTTTCTTTGTCCATCGACGCGGGATCGAAATTCAGGGAGCTGGCGGCGTATGTAGAGGATGTGACAGCTCCAACGTAATTATTTTCCCCCTCGACAGGAGGATAAACCCAATCCGTCTCTTGATAACCTACGTTGAAGATCTGCTAGACTGTCAGTATATTGGTCCCAAAGGTAAGCGAAGCCTAGAAGGGTCCTGCATCATAACCTACATCCCAACGCAGCTCCTTCGTTCCCCATTTGAATTGCGCGTAAATTTTCGGGAAATCTTGCGCAGCGCGACTTGTGTTAAAAGCATACCTGCGAAATATTACTTGAACCATGCACAAATCGCGGCCGGTGGATTGAAAGCTTACGTATGATACGAATCAATGCCCTCCCCGCCCAGACCCGATCTCTGTAAGGGGTAGTTGGGTGGGAACATTTTGCTTCTCATCTGCGTCTTTAAATCACAAGCCATACCTGGAATATCATTAGTTATAGGTCATGATCCCGTATAAGAACATGAAAACTGTACCCATGTAAGGGACGGCAACGTCTTCGCCGTTGCTTCCTGTGATCAGAATCTTGCCACTGTAGATTGGCAACTTTGTTTCATCACCAGTTTTTGGTGCCTCAAAGTTGAACCTGGGGGAAGTTAGAGCGGGGGTATCTGAATATATACAGGCCCGGGTTTGGGATTTACTCAGCCTGCTTCGTTTCACCAGGGTGGACTTGGAAAACACCCGATGGAAAGATGACAGTGGGCACGAGGCTCATTGGCTTCACGTCTAGAATATCGCCGAGACGCCCAGAAGTTCTTCCCTGAGCGAGGAAACCTCCTGCAGGTTCCAGAGTGAAGTTATAGATCACTGTTTCGTCCCCACTGTTCGTGATCTCGATCCTGTGGTGTTGATTGAATGATCCTGTATCGTTGAGTGCAAACTTCTCGAATGACAGGGATGTCTTGAACTCCAGGAGCTTTGTTGCGTTGATAAGTCCACTCCCTACTTGCGCAACTGGCGCAATAAACCCAAAGTCCGTGGGAAGGCCCTGAGGCTCCAAAGTCTGCCATGGAAGGCTGTCTCCACTAGAAATGATGCGTCTTGAGAGGTTCTTGGCAAAGTCTTTTCCGTGTACAGAGCGGCCTCCATGTTTGCAGATGTAGAGAGCTGCTACACCAGCAACATAAGGCGTTGCCATGGAAGTCCCACTAAGAACTTTGTACGTGCCATCCAGATAAGTGCTGTATATGTTGGCGCCAGGTGCGGCAATGTCCGGCTTGATCTCTAACTCATACGTCCCGCCCCAGCTGGTGTAATACGAGGGTATGCCACCGGCAGCGTTAAAAAAGCCAACAGCCCAATTGCTCTCCAGCGGTACGGTGAAATCAGCAGTGACTGTTCCTCCTGCTTTCACTGTTTCGATGATCGCCGCGCCAGCTTTGGCGTCGATGAGCGCGATCTGGGATTTGTAAGCCGAGTTCGCAACAATTTCATACGGACGATAATCGTCGTTGTAGAAGAGGATGTATCGAGCTCCGTGTCTTTCAACGTTGGCCTGTTTCACATAAGGCGTGCATGTTCCTCTTCGGATAAGCACAATTACGTTTGACAGGTCCGGTGTTGTGTCCGGCAGTGGGCTACATGCCTCCGCTGGATTGGTTGTGTCGAACGCCAATGGTAAAATCGATAGACCGGTAACGTTCCATAGGTCTCTGTTGACTGGAGGTATGTATGCAAGCTGAGTGGTGTTGGTAACGCCGTCGAGCTTGAATGTTGCATGCCATGGCTTGGCGGGAACTCGACTGGTGTCAACAGAAGCGACAGCCAAAACCTCTTTCCCAGACGATCCACTACTTGCATAAAAAGGGCCCTCCTCCCCATCGTTACCGGCCGCAATGGTAACTATGACGCCTTGTTCCACGATTCTGGAAGCCACTGTAGCCCAAGGCCCGTCGGAGAAGCCATTGGCACGTCCGATGCTTGCGGTGATGATATCGGCCTTCAGCAGAAATGAGAAAGTGGAACCTTTAGAAATGCATGCATGACTTACACCGGACTCGTACGCCATGATAGTCGCTTCAATCAATGTGGCTTCATCTGTACCTTCGAACTATGACGATTAGCACGTGTACCGTTGCTTATAGCCTTCATGTTCTTACAGCACCAAATACTTTGAAAGCAAGGATCTCAGCCTCTGGGGCGACGCCAGTATAACTGCGGAGTTGGGGAATATCAGCCCACAATCTAGCATTTTGACTTCATGGGGGCTAAGGCTGCTTACAATTCACTTTTGCCGGCAATAATACCGGCCACATGACTTCCATGCCCAAGAAAATCCAGAGGGTCTCCGTCGGGAATCTTATCATTAGACCCATCATACTCTGGAATAGACATCAGCTCTCATTGACATTTTGACCCTGCTAATATGAATGGGTTTCCGACTACCTTCGCCTACCAGGTCATATCCTCCAGAGACTTTGAACCCGGGCCCAAATCCACCACCGAACTAATAATTGTCAGCAATTTTGCAGGAAATCGATGAATTAAGTGAGATTAACTCACTGCGGGATGTCGATAGTCCACTCCCGAGTCAATGACAGCAACCTTGACGCCTTTTCCCAAAATGCCGGCTTCGTGGAGTTGATCAACTCCTGTCGAAAAATGAATAGACCAATTTTTAGCCGTAGCATCGTCGCTAAATGAAGCGTGGGGTATCACAGGCGCAAGTCTGTAAGTCTTTGCAGGCCAAGCTTGAGCAACTTCAACAACACTTTTCAGAGTATCAATGTTACCATGGCCAGATTTAACGCTAAAACCTTGGAAAATGTCGCTGTTGAATGACTTGAGAATCTTGCAGCCTGTGGCCTCTATTTTTCGTGACAAAGTATCCAGTGCGACGCCCTAGGAGAGTTTACATCTCAGCACATGCGTCGTGTTGATTAGTGTGGCTTAGAGCTTACTGGCTCAACTTCTACAACAAACGTTCCGGTCTCTGGAACGGTGTCATCATATCTTTTGCCAAACCTAGACCAAGTTTCAGCCTCAGCAACCGCCAGGGTGATTGCCCATAACAAAGCACAAAGACGCATGTCGCAAGCCAGAATCCAATGAGATTGTGAAGGGGCAGGAGAAGAGAGAAAAAAGGTGACTTTTGGCGGAAACCTATAATCTCATATGTAAGCTTGCCAATGGTATTCGGTGCACCCGGATAGCACTCTGCTAGCCGCTATATGCCGGGGACTGGGCTAAGAATCCACAACTAACTGCCAAACCCGACTTCAAAGGCATGCTCCGGTCGAGTTCTTGACATGCTCGACATTCTCCTGCTAGATTGGGATCCAAAGAAATCGAAAGTTCCGTTGCATCCTGCTAACCAGGGTCGCAACAACAGCCGAAAATGGTCTTTATGACCGTTATTGGTCCTTGGCTGTACTGCATATCCCTGTTATTGCAGCACCGCCAAGAACACACAGAACTCGTTTAAATTAGCGCATATTGACTCACCGAATAGTCAGGTCGACTTATACTCAAGTAATAAGATGCTTGACCAAACGGCACCGTCTGTTATAACTGGACAGTCACCTTGGGCAGAAATGAAGGCGAGTAAGACATTTCGCTGGCTATGACAATTGAGAGATCCCTGTCGGATCGAATCAAGGAGCAAAAAATATAATCCAACGACTGTGTGGATTCTAACCACAATTTCCTCCCCGAGGTGGGCTCGAACCACCAACCTCCAGATTAACAGTCTGACGCGCTAGCCAATTGTGCCATCGGGGATATTGGACTTATTGCTGATAGTGTCGCGATGCCAAGTTCACTATTGCTTCTGTGGCCGTGGAACACTCGAGACCAAAGCCAACGTTGTTAGCAGCAATTGGAGAACTTTCGTGCAATTGGCAGTCTCTTGATCATAGTAGAAGTGACAGCCAAACAATGCAAAACGCGCCATTATCCGGTCAAAAATAGACGGCGATTGCAGTGTCACATGTCAAGATATTGAGAAACCATTCCCTACAAACCGGCAAGTCGATGCAGCGAGACGAGCAGCCCCGCGACTATCATTCGGTTCCTTCTGAACAAGATCAATTCTATGTCAAGAGAACCTCTATGTGTAAACGAAATATCAGTACTACAGAACTCCTCAAGCGGATGATATGGCATCAAATAATTATCGTCAGGCATACGTCGACAGCAACTGAGGTTTATATTTTGGCTTTAAAAATATCATGTCGGAGATCTAGCTCTCTAGGAGAAACACATCGGCAAGCTACGGATTCCTAAGGGTTAGAGGGGGATACACAACCACAGTACATTGGAGAGAAAATGCTTCAATCGCTTCTTGGCCACTCCATGCATCTAGATTAATGTCTGTCATTTTCAGATTTATCTTAGGTTTTTCAAAGGAGAAGGTTCATTTGCGAACAGTATTAAGAAGATTTGCTAGTAATAGTAGACTCGAGGACTCAGGAGTAGAGTATTTATTTGTTAAATAATGGCTCTAGCACGAGAGAAAGTTCCCATGCTGGTATAATTAAGCTTAAAATACGGTGCCCGTGCTCTGCGTCTTGTCGTCCAAGGTGGCAAGCAACAATAAGTAAGCACGTCGCCGATCTGGTGGCTGTCGTAGGTTTAGCGCGGGTTGCGGGCATAATGAATGGCGCACTATAGGCGATTGAGCAGGTGAGTATTATATTTAGAATCTTACTGTGTTCTGATTTCTCTCTGTCTGGGGGCCTTCTCCGGATAGCTCCAATGCTGTTTCGGCGCGGCCGCTGATCTAATACGTCTTAGCTCTCGGGCAACGTCAAGCCTGGGGTTGAGAATAAGCAAGAAGTTTTCCAGCTGCCTAATTGAGATAAGAGAGATCCTAAATGCCACGCTAGGCAAAAGAGAAACTTGCCACAGCACTTATTTAAACAGGCTAGCATCGCATGCACAAATTCCCAACTTGTCAGGTCTTGCAAGACATTGTCTTGCGTTTTCCGGTAACCACCATGAAGGTTCAAATTCACTTGACCCTAAAACTTTGTGTCGGGGCGTTGCTTGCGCAAATAGTCCTTGGAGAACAAATTCCTGCTCCCACGGGCGAGTACAATGTCGGTGTCCAGCGTTTTGCTATTCCTTTCTTGAACGAGGAAGATCCCGTGTGGCCGAACGGGATCGCAACCGAATACCTCGCCACACTATATTATCCAACCTTAGATGAGAAGCCTTACCCAGAGCCTTACCTAGAGGCTGAGCTTGCTGAGCTGTATGCTACTCTATGGAGCTTCAATATATCTCACCTGACGTCGACTGTACGACTGAACGCCTCTTATACTCTTGAAGGAACCGGCCCGACGCTTCTTTTCGGACCTGGTGGTTGGGGTCCACCGACCGATGGCAACTACATTGTTATTTCTGACCTCGTCTCGCATGGTAAACCCACGTTTTTTGGACGTTCCTAGCCAGCGCTGACTTGACGGTGAAGGATACGTCGTGGCTGCATTTGACCACATCTACGAGCAGCCCTTTCTGCGATACCCCAATGGCACTGGTGTCTACGGTCTCTCGCCGGCTCTCAATAACTACACTAATGAATGGGTTGAGAAGCTGCACGCCACCAGGGTCAAGCACCAACTGCATTTTATTGACTACTTTCCTTCATTAGTGGCAGATCTCAAAGCGCCCTTCAAGACTAATAACTACGGCGCGTTCGGGGTGTCTATCGGAGGCTCCGCTGCTCTTACTGTGGCTCTCGAGAGCGACGCAGTAGCTGCCGCCATCAACGTAGACGGTACAATATTTGGTCGATTGAACAGCACCTCCGACTCGGATCTGAGAAAGCCTTCAATTATTCTTGGCTTCCAAAATCACAATGCAAATACCGATCGAACTTGGAACAATTACCGCGCCTGGCAAACTGGCTGGTGGCGTTTGTTATCTGTAGACGGTACCACTCATGGTGACTGGTCTGACAGGACAATTTGGAAACTTTTCGGGACAACAAGTCCGCTGGGTCCGATTGACGGTAACAGAATGGTCAATATCTCGAGAACATTTATCAGAGCTTTCTTTGATAAGACTTTTCTGGGCACTGAGGAGCCACTTCTGAACATCCCTTCAGCGGACTTCCCTGAGGTGAAGTGGGATGAAATACATGACGGACGATTTGAGCAAAGATTACCGGTATAGCTTGGTCTAATAGCAATCGAGCCAACTGAAATCCGTAGTGCCCGGTACCTACACATGCATCACCCGAATACTCTCGTTATCCATGGCCTGTTCAACATGATGTTCGACTCATCGGGCCATACATAGATTTTGATACGGTCACGTCGTGGACCAGACTTTCCAGATGAATATAGAGATAAATTGCAACAATGGTAAAAATGGGAACGCCATCAAATATACGAATGAGAACCGCATGTCTGATCATAAATACGCCTTCGACTTGGGAGTGTTGTTAAACGCTTTGACTAAGCTCCCAGTGAACATCAATGTGGCGTTACCGTATGTAATCAGATAGCAAATCCTCCAAGCAATGCCTGCGTGCGTCGTATCCATTTCGCCCACTTCATGATGTGCACAGCGGAGGGCGTGCAAAAAAGACAGCATGAATAGAGTGATGACCGCAAGCTGGGCAATCAGATCGACCAGAATGATGGTGTTAGACATCTTCATAGCACCTGGGTCACCAGAATATAGCATCATGGCTCTCTAGACCTGGCGAGGTCAACGACAACCTAAAGAAAAAGAAAGAAAACAGGGCTATAGTCTAATAAGTGTGTCGTGAAGCTGGGACAGCTTCGTGTGGCTAGTTCTAGTCAGAGACACCACAGAGTGGCGCCTCCAACTAATAAGACCTACATTAGGAAGAGTATTTTTAGGTAAGTTTTCTCTTGTACTTAGACTTAGGAAAATTAACTACTTCTCTTTATAAATATTAAAATACTATAGTTTATTATAGTTATAAGCCTAGCTCCTATATAAAAAACCCTTAAATATTATAATTACCTAGTGTTCTAAAAACTCTTTTTCTTAATCTATTACTAAGTAGTTTAACTACTTTAAAAAATAATATTCTTTAAAACTAATAAGATAACTAACTATAATAAGTCTATTAAGCTTATTATAAGGTAAAATTAGCCTAAATAGTTTATTACTCTTAAATACTATACTAAAAGTAAAAAAGTATAAGAGTATATTAATCTAGACAGTAATTCTAAAGTAAATATTACTAACTAACTAGACTTCTAATCCTTTAATAACTAGCTCTAAGAGTATAATAAAAAAAAGCTAGATAATTAAATAGTAACTTTAGTAACTATAAATATAATAATATTTTATACTTTTAATATAAAAAAAGAACTTAGTAGTTATATAAAAAAAGAATATATATATAAAGTAATTAAAGCCTAGGTCTAAGAAATAGTTAATTTATTACTACTTATACTAGTATATATAGAACTCTTAGATAAAAAAACACTAAGTAAATATTAACTTAAAAATAATATATTACTAAAGACTTTTATAAGAGTTCTAAAATAGTACTATACTCTTAATAACTTTACTATAGTTATAATAGTTTAAGAAGAGTATTTAGTAATATTAGCTAAGGCTAACACTAATATAAATTTTACCTCTTAGTATATAGATTAGTATAAGTGCTACCTTTAGGCTAAGTAATATAAAATACCTAAAGTATAAGAAACCTTAGCTATAAAAACTTTTCTTAGAGTAGTATTTACTTAGTTTTTACTAACTTAAGGTAAAAACGCCTTAGAATAAGTTATTAAGTAAAAGATAAATAATAAAGAAATTTACTTACTTTATATATATAAAGCTACTTTTAGTATACTAATCTATAAAAAGTTAACTAGTAAAATAAAAAAGAAATTAACTAAAGTCTATATAATACTAGTAAATTATTTAGATAGTAATAATAAGTTACTTATACCTAAGATAAAGGATTACCTTTATAGAATCCTTATAATAATAATACTAAGTAACTATTTATAAGTTAAATTTACACTATAAGGTATTCTTTATTAAGTATCTTTTAACTAAACTTTAGAAGAATTAGTAAAAATCTATAAATAGCTAAAGAAAAATAAATAGTAGTTAGTTTTATATATACTAATTAA